TTAAAAGGGAATAAGGAAACACAGCATCAGGGATTTTTGAAGGAACCAAATTGGAACTCCTTTTATCTGTGATGTGTCTAAAAGTTGTAATACAAAAGTATCACTAAAAACTGGCTAGTAAACTAACATGCAGATATGGATAGCTCAGAAACCAGATGCATTACCAAGAAGTCCTTCATATTTTAAGCCTGAAGGCAACCAATCTACTTTTTCAAGATCTTTTAAAGAATTGGAAGGGCTGTGGCTCAGCGGTAGCACACTTGCCTGGCATGTGTGAGGTAATGGGTTCAATTCTCAGCACCACATATAAATAAATAAAATAAAGGTCTATCCAAAAAAAAAAATTGGATACTCTCAATCCTGCACAATCTTAAATTTATGGACACCACCTTAGAAACAAAAGGATTCAATGAAAACAAAATTGTCAAATGGTCTCTCTGGGCCAAGAAGTTGGTGGGAACAACACAGGGAAAGTCTGATGAGMGTTCTAATGGAGAAACAAGGTATCAAGTTATGTTGGGATTTAAATCTGCTAGCAACATCAATTCATTTTACTTGTTCAGCTATTAAGGCAGAAAACTGGATAAGGCCTGAGGTTTTTCAGATTACCAAAGCTGGCATTAAAACAAAACCTAATTCTATAAATTAAGTGAAAAACACCATTTTTCATGCAGAGATATTGAAAGTTTTATTCCATTAAGATTAAACAGGGGGCTGGGGTTGTGGCTCAGCGATAGAGCACTTGCCTAGCACATGTGAGGCCCTGGGTTCCATCCTCAGCAMCACATATAATAAATAAATAAATAGAATAAAGGTATTGTGTCCAATTACAACTAAAAAATAAATTAAAAAAAATTAAACAGGAAATTTTCAAGAAAATTTTGTGTTCAATAGAATACATCTGTGATTATCTCAATAAACTATTTGTTTACAAAAGAAAACTTGTGTGATTTTGAATTTAAAATAAGATTTTCCCTACCACTGTACTCAATTTATCTAACCTCCAGCCCCCGATATCTGACACAAGGCAGAAATTACCATCGTTTTTAATTTTTGGATTGAACCCAGAGCATTTTACCACTGAACTAAATCCCAAGTCCCTCTTTTTTAAAAATATTTTTTTAGTTGTTGATGGACCTTATTTTATTCATTTATTTATACGTGGTGCTGAGAATCGAACCCAATACCTCACTTGTAAAATAAAGGTCTATCAAAAAAAAAAAAAGAAAAAGAAAAAAAAAAAAAAGAATCGGATACAGTAAATCCCGCACAATCTTAAATTTATGGACACCACCTTAGAAACAAAAGGATTCAATGAAAACAAAATTGTCACAAGAGCCACAATCCCAGTCCCCCAGTCCTTCTTATTTTTCTGAGACAGGGTCTTTTTAAGTTGCTGAGGGCCTCACTAAGTTGTTWAAGCAGATCTCAGACTAGCAATCCTCTTGCCTCAGCCTCCTGAGTTGCTGGGATTACAGGTGGGTACTACCATGCCTGATTTCATTGTTTCTTTCCTTTCTTCTTCTTCTTTTTTTAAAGAACCAAGACTCTTGTATCAAAAGTTTCGGCTTCATAACAACTGTCTCCAGGGCTGGGGATGTGGCTCAATTGGTAGCGTGCTCCCCTGGCATGCGTGTGGCCCGGGTTCGATACTCGGCACCACATACAAAACAAAGATGTTGTGTCTGCCGATAACTAAAAAATAAATATTAAAATTCTCTCCCTCCCTCCCTCTTTAAAAAAAAAAAAAAAACCAACTGTCTCCATAGTTCTCACCTTAAACCTTTCCTCCCCATCACTGTTATCTGTCACATAGCTTAGCACCCATCACCTTCACCCTTACCCACCAGGCCTCGAACCTGTTTTGAGTATACAGATCCATTTTTTTCCCTTTTACTTCACTAGCCGTGACACAGTGCTTAGGAAACACTTGTTGATGAAAGTAAGGAAAAGAACTGAGCATAGGGTGGAAAGCCCATCTCAGTATGAAAAAGAATAAAGACAAAACACTCAGCAGAACAGCAATACTCAGTCACCTTTCCAGGGTTTTCTCCTCAGACATAAACAGCAGTTGTAATTACCAGGTCTTCTGATATAACAGGAATAAAGTAGCTGTGCAAAAGAGGTTTTTGTAGCACATGCTATAAGAGATCAGGGAGTAAGCACCATTAGGAACTCTGTTAATTTTCCTTGAGGAGCAAAATGCACGTGAGGGGATTCTTGGAGCAAATCAATGACATTCTTAAAACATTCTAAAACACAAACTATATAGGCAGCTGCTTTCATTCTGAGTCAGCTTCTAACTGCCCTAAAGATCTTTTATCTTTTAGCAGCTTTTAGTTATACTAAAACCAGTTTTGCCAAAAATTAACTCATGGGGATATAGTGCCCCTTCTTCTATCTTYTCTAACAAAAAAGACATTTAATACCTACGCTTTCTTCAACTTCTCTAGTATCAAATATTGCCTGTTTGATATAAATATAAAATTCCACATATTATTTTTTGCCTTAGACACATTTTAAAAGTTCCTTGTTAACTGAAGAGAACAGAAAACAATTGTTGACGCCAACAACTTCTATCCCAATAAAGCAGTTGCCACTGGACAAGGCCTGTGTCCTGTCTGAATGACAAGTGATATTGTTAAAGAACTTTTAGTGCCTGCCATATAATAATAATAATCAACAATATCTGATATTTTCACTATTAAATGTTGAAGCAGAATCTGACCAGTTGTTCACCAATCTGTTTTCCTTCATTACTGAGCACACAGCTAGACTACACTCTAGACTTCCATTCTATTCAGAGTGGCTATGAAATGTCCTGGTGAGTGAGACATAGAGGAGACAGATTATTGTGTTTGGGTCTGGTCCATCAAAATCTCTATTCTTTTCCCCTATTTGCCACCAGATGTCAATGCCCAGGTTTTGGGAACCATGGGATAAAGATGGCAACATCTCTATCAACTTGGGCCCTTGACTATACAGAGCAAAGACATGTTGCCTCCATTACAATCACCTTCATTACTGACTGGACTATATGTGAGTGACAAGCTCCTGATATTTGTTAAAAAGAAGAAGTCTGATTGTGGTGGGGCTTGCCTATAATCCCAGGTACTTGCAAGGTTGAGGCAGGAGGACTGCAAGTTATAGGTCAGTCTAGGCAACAGTGAGACTCCATCGCAAAATAAAATAAAAAGGGCTGGGGATACAGAGTTCAGAAGTAGGGTGCCTCTGGGTTCTATCCCCAGCACCACAATAAATAGATAAATAGAAACACACAAAACTGAACTGCATAGTTAGGTACATGGGTGGGTCTATAATAGCTTTTTACCTAATTTGTCCTACATCTTTACCACTTCTCCATAAATAGAATGGTTCATCAATAAAACTTATCACACCAAAATGCCTACAAACTTAAGGTCAGAGTCAAAGATCACAGTCAAACTAATTATAAATGACGCTGGAAACAACTGGAATGGAGCTGAAACTAACAAATTATGTTTTACACTGTGTCTTTTGCACCTTTATGGGGGAGGAATGCAGTCTGAAAAGAATAGCAAAGGATCAGGTATCAACATTGTCCTCATGAATACAGTCAACAAATGAGCTGCTGTGTGGTTAGCCTTGAGGAGACTAACAGCCAGCTTTGGCTTTCTGGGGGAGCAAATTCCACGAGTTGATTCACAGATGTATTACACTTGATTTTTATTTGCTCTTAAATCAAACCCTTTAAAACGAAGCCTCCGGGTGCAGATTAACATAAAGCGGAATGGTCAGTAGTCTCTAAAGTCTCCGCTAGGGGGAAATTTGGGATGCCAGGGGAAAATTTTTAGAACCAATAGACGCCTGTTCAAGCCCAGGACGGGCACAGCTTAAAAACGCTGCAAGTTTGCAGGAAGTGATTCCTCAGCTGATGGAGGAAAATCCCAAAGCTCCTGAAGACCCCTCACCTGATTGAACTCCTCATCAGCGTATATATCAATCAAGTCCACTCCTTCTGACATGGTTCCGTAAAGAGGACCTCGAGCCCGAAGAATAGGCAAAGTAAGAAAGATGCCACTGCAGTATTCAGAGAAGGACAAAAATTAGAAGGCATGAGGGTCTCAGGCTGGGAGGAGGGCAATGGTTGCCAACCTCCCGTCTCCAGAGACGCAGCATCCCGGCAGCCCAAGCTCGGCCCCACCCGCTCCGCCCCGCCCCCGGGCTCGCGCCGCCCCCCGCACTCCCAGGCCRCCCGGGCTCGCGGGGCTCGCTGCCCATCACCCGCGGACCCGACCCGAGTTGCGCCGAGACGGCGCCGCGGCTGCCTGTGGCGCGACGGGAAAGTCCAGGCCTCGGCTCTCGGGGGCCCTGAGGACGGGCTGTGAAGAACGGCCGCGGCGAAGCCCGCAGCCCCAGCCCGCCGCACCTGCCTAGGCCCCAGGGCGGCCCCGGCCAGAGCCCTAGCGGGTCCGGGAGCTCCAGCCGCCTCCATCCCCCGCCCAGGCCCAGTCCTCGCCCCAGCTAGGCCTGCCCCACTCCCTCCCCACAGCCCCGGCCCGGCGCCCACAGCCCCCTCCTCAAAGGCCCGCGCCTCCCTCGGCCCGCCGACTCCGGCCGCCCCAGATTCAACCGACCCCCTCCCCGCCTCAGTGCCGACCCCAACCCTTCTTCCGGCCCAGCCGGCCCCCGGCCGCGCGCCCCCGTTACCGGGAATATGGCGGCGGCGGCGGCGAGTCCGGACTAGGCCCGAAGCGCGCGAACCGCTCTCCGCCCCAGGTCCCGCCCCCCCGCCGCCGGCGTCACACGCACCGCTACTTCCGCCATACGCAGGGACGCACCTTCCGGTTTAGGTCCTCCCAGGCGGTCGAAGTCGGCTGTTCTGACGGCTCGGAGTTTCCGGAAGTGCCGCATTGCAGGCTTCCGGTGCGGGTAGGGAAAAATGGCGGTGTTCRCCGTGCTCCCGACTGTGGCGCGGGTGAGAGAACGGAGGTTCTAAGGTCCCGGGCGGGTGGCAGCTGGGACGGAATTTCGTCGTCTTCTGTGATCGTGGAGGTTGTAGGGAGCGTTCAATTGCCCGATCGCCCAGGTCAGGGGCACTTCCTACAGCTTAGGAGATTCAGGTCGCTTCCATCCTTTGGGGAACCCACGATGTGCTCGACTGGTAATACTTGGTGATGTCTGGTTGAATGGTCAGTTATCGTGCGAGACTGACCCAGTTCAGGTCTCACCTAGCCCCAGGCAGAGGTAGACCAGCTGTCTGTGAGTGCGCCCTTTTACCTACCAGTTTTTAAGCGCCTATCGTGATTTCACATAGTACCTTGAGCTCTTTATTTTTTTTAATGTAGGCATTCACCACTGTAAAACTTACTCATAGTGCTGTTTTTATTGCATCTCATAATATTTTGTATATTGGGTTTTTATACTTTTAAATTTGCCTATTTCTTCTTTGACCTTTTGGTTGTTCAAGAGTATACTGTAGCCAGGCGAGGTGGAGCAAGCCCGTAATCCAAGCTTCTCCGGAAGCTGAGGCAGGAGGATCGAAAGTTCGAGGCCAGCTTGGGCATTTAGCAAGACCTTACCTCTAGAGAATAAAAAATAAAAACAAGGGCGTTCCGCGGTAGAGCGCCCCCTGGATTCAGTCCCCAATAGTGGAGGCAGTTAGTTTAGTTTCCACATACTTGTTAATTTCCCAGATTTCCTTCTGCTACTGATTTGCAGTTTTATTCCTGTGCAGTTGGAAAAGATACTTGGTATGATTTGTCTTCTTAAATTTAAGAATGTTAAGATTTGTTTTGTGATATAACTTGTGATTTATCCTGGGGAATATTCATTTCCCTGTGCACCGAGAAGAATGTGTATTGTGTTGTTGGATGCAATGTTCACATGTCTGTTAGTGACATTTGTTCTACAGTGTTATTCAATTCCTCTATTTTCTTTTTGATCTCATGCTTGGATGGTTTGTCCATTTTTAAAAGTGGGGTATTATCCYTTGTTGCTATTTTTTCCCCTTCAGTTCTACCAGTGTTTGCTTCATATATTTGGATGCTGTAATGTTAGGTGCTTATATGTTCATAATTATTATATCATCCTGGTGAGTTATTGTTTAACAGCTTTGTCTTATGACAGTTTTTTTTTAAATATCCATTTTTTTTAGGTGTAGATGGACACAACACAATGCCTTCATTTTTATGTGGTGCTGAGGATCGAACCTGGGTCCTGCCTGTGCTAGGGGAGTGCTCTACTGCTAAGCCACAATCCCAGCCCCTTATGACAATTTTTGACCAAGTGTTTTCTTTTCCTGATATCAGTGCTCTCTTGCATGCCATTTGTATGAGGTATCATTTTCCATCCTTTCACTGTATCCGTATGTGTCCTTAAAGCTAAAGTGAGTCTCTTATAGACAGGTTATTGTTGGAGTTTGGGTTTTTTTGTTTGTTTGTTTATTTTGGTACTTGGGATTGAACTCAGGGGCACTTGACCACTGAGCCACATTCTCAGCTCTATTTTGTATTTTATGTAGAGACAGGGTCTCACTGAGTTGCTTAGCACCTCGCTTTTGCTGAGGCTGGCTTTGAACTTGCGGTCCTCCTGCCTCAGCCTCCTGAGCCACTGGGATTACAGGTGCCACTGTGCCTGGCTGGAAGTTGGGTGTCGTTTGTTTGTATGTGTGTTTTGTTTTGTTTTCATCTGTTGGATCACTTCATATCTTTTGATTAAGAAGCTTAATCCATCTACATTTAATTTCTGTAGGTATTACTATAAGGAAGGAGTTGTCATTTTTTGTTTTCCATCTTGTAGCTCTTTTGTCCCTGTTTTCCACTTCTTGCTGTCATCCATTGATTTTTTTTTTTTTCTACTCTTGATTTGATTTCTCATTTTCTTTTGTGTGTCCTCTATAGGTGTTTTCTTTGTGGTTACCAGTGGGGTTACATGAAACATCTTCTAACAATCTATTTTAACTGGATAATTTAATTTCACTTTCATACAAAAACTCTGCTCTTTTACTTCCCCCTTTTGTGTTATGATGTCACAAGTATGCTTTTTAAAAAATATGTATTTTTTTAGTTGTAGGTGGATACAATACCTTTATTTTATTTTTATGTGGTGCTGAGGATTGAACCCAGTGCCAAGTGAGTGCTCTACCACTGAACCACAGCCCCAGTCCACAACATATACTTTTTTTTTTTTAAGAGAGAGTGAGAGAGGAGAGAGAGAGAGAGAATTTTTAATATTTATTTTTTAGTTTTCGGCAGACACAACATCTTTGTTGGTATGTGATGCTGAGGATCGAACCCGGGTCGCACGCATGCCAAGCGAGCGCGCTACCGCTTGAGCCACATCCCCAGCCCCACAACATATACTTTTTATGTTATATATCCATTAATATTTTTATAGACTCAATGTTTTTTATACATTTTATATTTAACTTCTACATCAGAATGAAAAGTGATTTACAAAGGGATCCTCTTGTAGTTCCAGTTTTTTTGGAGGCTGAAAAAGGAAGATCCTAGAACCCAGGAGTTCAAGACTAGCCTGGGCAACCTAGCAGGACCACCTCCCCCAATAAAAGTGATTTCCATACCATTTACAGTGTTAACTTTGGGGGGCAGGGGAAGGAGAGTACTGGGGATTGAACCCATGGGCACTTTACCACTAACCTACATTCCCCAGCCCTTTTTTATTTTGAGAAACGGTCTCCCAAAGTTGCCCAAGCTGGACTTGAACTTGCCGTCCTCCTTCCTCTGCCTCCTGAGCTGAAATTACAGACATATGCTAGTGTGCCCAGACAGCCAGTATTTTTTATCATTCTATGTATTAACTTTACCAGTGAGTTTTATACTTTCATATGTTATTGTTTTACTATCCAGCATATTGTTATTTCTACTTGACAGGATATTAAGTATTTCTCTGTTCAGCATGTCTTTTTTTTTTTTTTGGTGTGTGTGTGTGTGTGTGTGTGTGTGTGTGATTATGGGGATTGAACCCAGGATCTTGTGCATGTGAGGCAAGCACTCTACCAACTAAGCTATATCCCCAGCCCATGTTCAGCATTTCTTATAAGTCAGATTATAAATCAGGAATAGTGGCGATGAACTCTCCTAGTTTTCATTCATCTTGGAATATCTTTACTTCACCTATACATTTTTTTTTTTCAATTGGGGATTGAACCCAGGGGCACTGAGACACATCCCCAGCCCTTTTTTGTATTTTATTTAGAGATAGGGTCTCGCTAAGTTGCTGAGGCTGGCTTTGAACTCTCAGTCTTTCTGCCTCAACCTCCTGAGCTACATGATGACAGGCATGTGCCACTGCTCATGGTTTCACCTATACTTTTGAAGGACAGTCTACCAGATGTAGTTTGTTTGGTCAGTATTTTGTTTTTCTTTCAGCATTTTTAAATTATCACCCCACTTCTAGCATGCAATATTTCTGTTAAGAACTCCTGATAGTCTTGTTGCTTGCAAGATTCTTTCTTCTTTGATTTTTGACAATTTTTTTCTGGAAAAACAATTTTTTTTTTTTTTTAATACTGGGGATTGAAATCAGGGACACTCAACCACTGAGCCACATCTCCAGCTCTATTTTATATTTTATTTAGAGACAGGGTCTCTCACTAAGTTGCTTAGCACCTTGCAATGCTGAGGCTGGCTTTGAACTCACAATCCTCCTATCTCAGCCTCCCAAGCTGCTGGCGTTATAGTTGTGTGCAACTTCACCCAGCAAAACAATTATTTTTAATTAACAAAGGATGTAAACGTGAACTTGAGAAGGGTACTTTTTTTTAAATTTAAAGCTATTGATGGCTACAAAGATAACACAAATATATATATGTATATTTTAAATATTTACTTTTTAGTTGTAGTTGAACACAATATCTTTATTTTATTTATCTACATGGTATCGAGGATYGAACCCAGGGCCTTGCACGTGTGAGATGATCGCTCGACCGCTGAGCCACAACCCCAGCCCAACAACACAAATATATTGTAGTATAAATTTTCAGTAGTAATTTATACTCAATACTGCACAATTGCCTAGGACTTATGGATCTATGCCATGCCTAATATTGCTCCATTTCTGAAATGCTGCCTTGATACTAACAGGGAAAAAAAAAAGTGGATGAACTAGGTACAGTGCTGCCTGCCTGTAATAACAGCTAATTCAGGAGGCTGAGGCAGGAGGATTGCAAGTTCAAGGTCAGCCTCAGCAACTTAGTAAGGGTGTCTCAAAAAAAAAAAATTTTTTAAGCATGAAATTTGGCCAGAATGAGAGATCCAAATTATTAGAACAATTTCCCCACACTGATGATGATAATCCTCCCCATCCTCTTTAATTTTTATAGAAATTGCTCAGCCAGTTGTGTTACTGTAAGTAACATTAGTCTGCTTATCATGACCAGYACCTATGGCCCAGTAGTAAATATCCCAGTCATTGCTATAAGTAACACAACTTCGACAAGCTCAGGAAGATGATGCTCGAACAAAATGAGAATTTCAGTTAACAGAAGGTATTTAAGAATGAAGCAAATAAAAACTTTGAAGCTAAATGCAATAACTGAATTGAAAAAATTCACTAGAGGTGTTCAAGGACGCACTTGATGGAACAGAAGAACGTACAAACTAAGACAAGCCATTTGAAATTACTGCATCAGAGGAACAGAATTTTAAGAAGAAAGAGAAAAGAAAATGTAGGGGACTTAAAAAACATCATCAAGCAGAAAGTAGGAATCCCTGCCTCAGTGTATACCAGAGTCCTTAAAGGGCTTGTTAAAAATGCATTTTCCAGGTACTAGAGATTCTGATCCAAAATGTTTAGGAGGGGGCTTCAGAAACTGAATTTTCTATATGCTATATTAATTTGCTTGGGCTACCATAATAAAACACCTCTATCAGAAAGTGGCTTAAACAACAAATTTATTTTCTCTAGGTTTCAGAGACCTAAGGTACAAGATCAAGATGTTGGTTGGTTTGATTTCTCTAGAGGCCTGTCTGGCTTTTAGATGGCACTTCTTGTTGTGTCYTGTGGTCTTTCTTTGTTCATGCATATTTCCTCATGTCTTTTCTGACTGTAGACAGTTTGGTTATAATATGTCTTGGTGTGAACTTTTCTGGGTATGTGCTAGTTAGGGTCTCTTGGACTTCTTGAATCTAGATACCCATTTCCCCCCAAATTTGGAAGTTTTCAGCCATTATTTATTTAAATAAGATTTCTGCCTCTTTTTAGGCTCTCATAATGTGAACATTGGTCTGCTTGATGGTGTCCTCTAAGTCCCCTACGTTTTCTTTACTCTTTCTTTTTAAAATTCTGTTCCTCTGATATAGTAATTTCAAATGGCCTGTCTTAATTTGTTGGTTCTTCTACTTGATCAAGTGTGCCCTTGAACACTTCTAGTGAATTTTATCAATTCAGTTATTGTATTTAGCTTCAAAGTTTTTGTTTGCTTCATTTTAAAATATTTTCTGTTAACTGAAATTCTCATTTTGATCAAGCAACATCCTCCAAACATCTTGTGACAGTCATTTTGAATTTCATTWGGTGGTTTATATACCTCTGATTCTCTAGGGTCAGTTTATGGAGACTTATTTTGGTCCTTGGGATTGAGCCATGTTCCCCTGTTTATTCTTCTACTTTACAAATTTGCATCGTCATCTGTGCATTTAAAAAGCATCCCCCTCTTCTGGTCTATGTGGATTGGCTTAGTTCAAGGAAAGACCTTTATCAGTCAGCCTGGTTAGAGATTCTAGGGGCTTCAGTCCTTTTCTGTGGATGTGTCTTTTTCTAGACTTAATGGGTATAAATTTCCAATTCAAGTACTTCACAGTTGTTTTTTTTTTTTTTTTTTCAGGCATTCATTATTTCTTGTTCCCTCTGATATCTGAGTGTGATGCTTGGAACTACTGCAAGTTGCTCAGCTCTCTTATTTTCATTGGTCCCTGGACTTCTCTGGTATGCCAGGGCTGCCAGAGCTCTGGGTTAGGCAAGACAGAAACCAGTCTCCCACGCAGCTCCCTAAAAAGCCTTTCTCTAGATTGTATCCTTTGGGAGATTAGGGACCATACCATCTGTGTATCCTCAGCTTTCAACACAGTTGAATGATTAGGATACAAACTGTACTGTAAGACTTTTAAAGGAATGTGAAGGAAAGAGAAAATATTTCTGCTGGGACAATTTCTGGAAAGATTGGCTAAGATGTGTTTTGCAGTTCTATATTGGAAGACTGTTTATCCTCTCTGAGCCTTGAATTCCTGGATTCCTCAGATTCCTGGATTCCTAGACTGTAAAGTAGGGACAATATCGGCACAGCTTCCCCACAACTAAATAAATATATAATTGAGCACCTACTGCAGCACCCAGCGCAACTGTAAATGTTGGCTAAATGACAGTGATGGTAGTCTTGGTTATTTTAAAGATGTTTGTGGTTGGTTTGTTTCAGATGCTGCCAAGGCTCAGCCTGTTGTCTCCTTCGCTCAGTGTGACATCATTCAGACGCTTCTACAGAGGTGACAGCCCAACAGATTCTCAAAAGGACTTGATTGAAATCCCTTTGCCTCCTTGGCAGGAGAGAACTGATGAATCCATAGAAACCAAAAGAGCCCGCCTGCTGTATGAGAGCAGAAAGAGGGGGATGTTGGAAAACTGCATTCTCCTTAGGTAGGGGCACAGCACCCTGGGTGTCAATTCTCTTTGACTGGAGGTAGTCTTTGCAACCTCTCTCTTTCTTGTTTTTAGCCTCTTTGCTAAAGAATATCTGCATCACATGACGGAGAAGCAGCTGAACCTCTATGATCGCCTGATTAATGAGCCTAGTAATGACTGGGATATTTACTACTGGGCCACAGGTACTGATCGTGATAAGCAGACTAATGTGAAAATAAGATGACTTAACTGATTTGAGTCTGAAATTATATCCTAGGTAGTTTTTCTTTTTTCATTCATGTTATAGGCACTCAGTTCAAACACTGCAAATGTTTCCAAAATGTGCAGAATTTTTTTATCAGTTAAGGTTCTTTGSTTGCAAGAGAGAGAAACTTACTATAACTTAAGCAAAAGGGGAACTTAGAGCTGGGCGCTGCGGCACACGCCTATAATCCCAGAGGCTCAGAAGACAAAGGCAGGAGGATTGAGAGTTCAAAGCCAGTCTCAGCAGCTTAGCAAGGCCCTAAGCAACTCAGTGAGCCCCTGTCTCTAAATAAAATATAAAAAGGGCTGGGGATGTGGCTCAATGGTAAAGTGCCCCTGGTTTTAATCCCCAGTACCAAAAAAATAAAGGGAACTTAGTGGAAGCGTATGTGAAGCTCACGGATCAAAGGGAAGGTTGAAGAGCCACTGTGCTGGGAATGGAGAAAAACTGTTACTAGCCCCAAGTCCGGCTGCTTCATACAACAGGTTAAGTTGAGAGATGAGATATTAAGGCAAAAAAGGCAACTATTTGAAAAGCTGACTGATAGAGAAGTGAGAAGATAGATAGTAATTCAAAGTAAATCTTGATGCTCAGGGCTAGCATTTGCATTTCTAAAGGGGAGTTTTAAGGAAATGAGAACAAACAGGTGCATATAAAATCAAGAAGTTATTTTTGAACTGCAGGCCACTGTGTCATGAGTGTTTCCTATTTCTGGTTGATGCTGTCTGGACCTCCCAAGGTTCCTGTAACACTCAGTTTCTTGTTACTGTGGACAACTATCTTAAGCTCTACATAGACAGACCATAAGTTTCAGGCCTGCCTATGAGCCAGAATTCAGGTTGCTTAAAGGCTGTGTTTATGTCCACTCTGTGTTCTATGATATTACTGGTGCATTATTAAAAAGTCATGAGTTCCATGTTCCGCCTGAATTGCTGCTCCTTCATCCTCAGCATGATCCTAGAAAGCTGTTGAAGCTATATCTGTCCTGTCCATTATTTCCATTAACTATCGCTCAGTTACACARCTACATCTAGCTAAGAGGAAGAAATAATATAGTCTATTCCAAGCACCTAACTACACTGGGGCTTTTGTTATCAATGAAAATAGGAGAATGGATATTAGGTGACATCTCCATATGTGCTACACCCTGGGTATCTTGTTTCTGTGTCTTAGTACAGTCATGTACTGTATAACTTTTCTGTATGAGTAGTTCATAAGATTATAATCTAGGTTAAGTATACACTTTGCCATCTAGGTTTGTATAAGTACTCTTCATGATTTCCCACAGTAGTAAAATCACCTACTGACACAGTTCTCAGAACATATGCCTGTCATTAAGCAATGTGTGACTATTAATATCAGGAAATTGAAGCCATCCTGTAAGTTCTAAGTCTGAAGAATGAGCATAGAAGCTTATGTGATTGACTATTGGAAAGCCCACAAAGCCTGAATTATTTACTCTGGCCCTTTACAGTACAGGTGTGTTGACTTAATATAATACATTTGAGATCCATCCATGTTGTTATTTATATCATTAATTCATTCTTTTGTATTGTTGTGATATTCTGGTGTGTGGGTAATCCACAGTTTATTTATCCATTGATCAGTTGAGAGACGGAGTTCTTTCCAGTTGTAGGCATTACCAATAAAGCTGCCATAAACAATTGCATACAGATTTTGTGAACATAAGTTTTAGTTGTTCTTGAGTAAATACCCAGGAGAAGGCTTACTGGGTCATAAAGTAAGTGTATGTTTAAATTTGTAACGTCTTTTGTAAYAGACCAGATATAAATATTTTAGGCCATGTAGTCTCTATTGTAATTCCTCAACTGCATTTTAGATTTCATATAATTTTCATGTCATGAAGTAATCTTTTGATTTTTTTTTTTCTCTCCAGCCATTTAATAATTATTCTTAGTACAMAGGCCATTACAAAATTAGGCTGTAAACCATAGTTTCTCGCCTTCTGTKTTAAGTGAAAGAGGCCAGATTCAAGGAGTACCTGTTGTGTGATTGTGTTTATATGATGTTCTGGAAAAAGCAAAACATCAGGAACAGAAAACAGAATCAATGATTACCAGGGACTGGGTGTGAAGGAAGGGATTGATGCTCTTCATTTTCATCAATTCTCCATGTTACCAGCATTTTGGTTATTCACCATTCCCAGAAATATACAGTGGAAAGAACTATAGTGATGTTTTAATTGCCACGTTTCTAATAACTAAGAATACTGAGGATCTTTTCAAGCGTTTATTTACCATTGTATACATCTTTGTTGATGCTTCTCTTCGGATATCCTACCACCATCACCATTTTTATTAAATTGTGTGGTTTGTTTTCTTATTGAGTTGAGGATTCTTGAGTTACTTTGATTTCAAATCTTTTATCAGATATGTGTCTTGCAAATATTTGTCTTTTCATTTTCTTAACAATGTAATGGAGCAGTTTTTAATTTGGTATAGTACAATTTTAATGGATTGTGGCTTGTGTGTGTGTGTGTGTGCACATGCTATGGATTGAACCTGGGGGCTTTTACACTAAGCTACATCTCCAGATCTTTTCATTTTAATGATTAATTTATTTAATTTGGGGGAGTCCTGGGGATTGAACTCAGAGGCATTCTACCACTGAGTCAAATTCATGCCCTTTTTAAAAAATTTTATTTAGAGACTGGGTCTCATGAGTTGCTTAGTGCCTTTCCATTGCTGAGGCTGGCTTTGAACTTGCAATCCTCCTGCCTCATCCTCCTGAGCCACTGGGATTACAGGTGTGCATGACAGCGCCCAGCTTTTTATTTCATTTTGAGATAAGGTCTCACTGAGTTCCCAAGATGGCTGCAAACTTAGGATCCTCCTGCCGTAGCTACCAGAGTAGATGGAATTACAGGCATGCATCACAACACCCAGCTTGGTTTTTGCTTTTGATATTATTAGAAGAACTCTGCCAGTCTAAAGTCATAAAAGATTTTCTCTTCTAAGAATATTAAAGCTGTTTGATTTTTTTTTTCTTTCTTTTTTTTTTTTTTTTTTTTTCCTGTGCTGGGGATGGAAGCCAGGGCCTCAAGTATGCAAGTCAATCATCCTAGTTTCTTATTTTAAGACAGGGTCTTGCTAAGTTACTCAAACTGACCTTGAACTTGAGTTACTCCTTCCTCTGCCTTCTGAGTAGCTGGGATTATTGGTGTGTACCATCAAACCAAATCTTATTTTTGCTTTAAGAAATAAAATCCCTAGGCTCATTCCCTAGTACCACCAAAAAAAAAAAAAAAAATGGATTTTGATTGTGGTTGTGTGAAGTTAATAGTTTTTGATTTGCAAAAATATTACTGCATTTATTTAGGTCTTTTTGAATTTCTTTCATAAGTGTATCAGTTTTATACAATCATCCAAACTTAATGGTTTAAAGCAATTGACATTTATCTTAACAATTTCTCTGGGCCTGGAATCCAGGCTTTACAAGGTTGTAGTCAAGGTGTCAGCCCATGGTCCAGTCGCATCTGGAGGCCTTACTAGGGAGGGGTCTGCTTTCATTCTCATCTTGGTATTCTGGTGTTGGCAGGCTTCAGTTCCTCACGGACTTTTCCATTGAGGGTCTCTGTTTTTTGCTAGGAAGTCACCCTCCATTTCTTGTCACAAAAACCTCTCCATAGGCTTCAGCAGAGCATGAGACCTTAGAGAGAAATGAGTCCTCCGACAAGATGGAAGCCACCATGTTCTGAACCTAAACACAGAAGCGACATTCCAACACCTTTGCCTTATTCTGTTGGTTAGAATCAAGTCATTAGGTGGCCCACACTCTAGGGGAGTCTAGGAGGCAGAGATCAGTAGGGGCCCATAGCATTCAGTGTTTCATGGTTCTCACCATATTTTGTTGATTTATATCTAGATATTTCATGTATTTTGGGTTTTATTAGAAATTGTGCTTTTTGGTACTGGGAATTTAACCCAGGGGCACTTTACCACTGAGCTACATTCCCAGACCTTTTTAATTTTTTGAGGCAGGTGAGGCTGACTTTGAATTTGCAAAGTTCAAAACTCCTGCCTCAGCCTCCTGAGTTACTGGGATTATAGGGGTGTGCCACCACATTCAATTATAAAGCGTACTTTTTTTTTTCAATTGTTTATTGCTAGAATGTAGAGAAACAATTGATTTTTTTTTTTTAATATCGATTCATATCTATGGCCTTACCAAACTTAGTATGGAARTTTCTTTGTACATACTTTGGGATTTTCTATGGAGATGGTCAGTGCCATGTGTGAATAGAGGTAGTTCCTTTTATATGTTTTTCTTGCTTTATTATTGCACTGTCTAGAACCTCAGGTATCATGTTGAATAACAGTGGTGAGAGCAAGTGTCTTTGACTGTTCCGACTTTAATATCCAGACCCAGTCTATCAGTGATAGCTGTAGATGTCTTTTATCAGATTGAAAAAATTTCCTTCTGTTTCTTGTATATTGAGTATTTTATCATGAGTGGATGTTGAATTTTGTGAAGTGCTTTCTGTGCACCTATTGTGATGATCATTTCTTTAGTGATGTGATGTGAGGCAAGTGCTCTGCCACTGAGCCACAACCCGAGCCCCTCTAGTTTCTTAATGTAATAGCTGAGCTCATTGGAGAAAGCTCATTCTTTCTCATAAGCATTTGACACCACAGATTGCCCTGTAAACACTGCTTTGGTTGCATATTACATACTTTGATGTGTTATGCTTTCATTTTCCTTCAATTTCTCTTGTGACTTTCTCTTTGACCTGGGTCAAAGAGAAAGTCACAAGAGAAATTATATTACTTAAATTATATTATATAAACAACATACTTATAAGTACTTATATTACTTATAAGGATGTTGTTTAAATTTCAAGTATTTTCCAGACTTAGTTTTAAATCCRTTTCATAACCTGAAATGTGGGTGTCTTGATAAATATCCCATGTACACTTG